GACAAACCACTAGCCAGACTTACAAAGAAAAAAAGGGAGAAAGCTCAAATAAACAAAATCAGAAATGAGCGAGGAGAAATAACAACAAACTCTGCAGAAATACAACAGATTATAAGAGAATACTACAAAAAACTACATGCCAACAGAATGGATAACCTAGAGGAAATGGATAAATTCTTGGACTCCTACAATCTCCCAAAGCTCACTCAAGAAGAGGCAGACAATTTGAACAGACCAATCACAAGGAAAGAGATTGAAACAGCAATCAAAAACATCCCAAAGAATAAAACCCCAGGACCAGGTGGATTTCCTGGGGAATTCTACCAAACTTTCAGAGAGGATTTAATACCTATCCTTTTCAAGCTATTCCAAAAAATTAGGGAAGATGGAACACTTCCTAACACATTCTATGAGGCTAATATCACGCTGATACCAAAACCTGACAAGGACACCACGAAAAAAGAGAACTACAGGCCAATATCACTGATGAACATACATGCAAAAATTCTAAACAAAATTTTGGCAACCAGAATTCAGCAATTCATCAAAAGAATCATACATCAGGATCAGGTGGGATTCATACCAGGGACACAGGCATGGTTCAACATCCGCAAATCAATCAACGTGATACACCACATCAACAAACTGAGGAATAAAAACCACATGATCATCTCAATAGATGCAGAGAAGGCATTTGACAAGATCCAACAGCCATTTATGATAAAAACTCTTAACAAAATGGGCATAGAAGGAAACTACCTCAACATAATAAAGGCCATATACGAGAAACCCATAGCCAACAGCATACTCAATGGGCAAAAACTGAACCCCATCCCCCTGAAAACAGGAATGAGACAAGGATGCCCTCTATCACCACTCTTATTTAACATAGTACTGGAGGTCCTGGCCAGAGCAATCAGGCAAGAAAAAGGAATAAAAGGAATCCAAATAGGGAGGGAAGAAGTGAAACTCTCGCTGTTTGCAGACGACATGATCTTATATATATAAAACCCCAAAGAATCCATTGGAAAACTGTTAGAAGTAATCAACAACTACAGCAAAGTTGCAGGGTATAAAATTAATTTGCATAAATCAGTAGCAGTTCTATACTCCAGTAATGAACCAAAAGAAAAAGAACTCAAGAATACAATACCATTCACAATCGCAACAAAAAGAATAAAATACCTTGGGGTAAATTTAACTAAGGAAGTGAAGGACCTATATAATGAAAATTACAAGGCCTTTCTGAGAGAATTGGATGATGACATAAGGAGATGGAAAGACATTCCATGTACATGGATTGGAAGAATAAACATAGTTAAAATATCCATTCTACCTAAAGCAATCTACAGATTCAACGCCATCCCAATCAGAATCCCAATGACATTCTTTACAGAATTAGAGCAAAGAATCCTAAAATTCATATGGGGCAACAAAAGACCCCGAATTTCTAAAGCAATCCTGAGAAAAAAGAACAAAACGGGAGGCATCACAATCCCTGACTTCAAAACATACTACAAAGCTACAGTAATCAAAACAGCATGGTACTGGTACAAAAACAGGTGCACAGATCAATGGAACAGAATTGAAAGCCCAGAAATAAAACCACACATCTATGGACAGCTTATCTTTGACAAAGGAGCTGAGGGCATACAATGGAAAAAAGAAAGTCTTTTCAACAAATGGTGCTGGGAAAACTGGAAAGCCACATGTAAAAGAATGAAAATTGACCATTCTTTTTCACCATTCACCAAAATAAACTCAAAATGGATCAAAGACCTAAAGGTGAGACCTGAAACCATAAGGCTTCTGGAAGAAAACGTAGGCAGTACACTCTTTGACATCAGTATTAAAAGGATCTTTTCGGACACCATGTCTTCTCAGAGAAGGAAAACAATAGAAAGAATAAACAAATGGGACTTCATCAGATTAAAGAGCTTCTTCAAGGCAAATGAAAACAGGATTGAAACAAAAAAACAACCCACTAACTGGGCAAAAATATTTGCAAGTCATATATCTGACAAAGGCTTAATATCCATAATATATAAAGAACTCTCGCAACTCAACAACAAAACATCAAACAACCCAATCAAAAAATGGGCTGGAGACATGAACAGACATTTCTCCAAAGAAGATATACTGATGGCCAATAGGCACATGAAAAGATGCTCATCATCGCTGATCATCAGGGAAATGCAAATCAAAACTACACTAAGATATCACCTTACACCCGTTAGAATGACAAAAATATCTAAAACTAATAGCAACAAATGTTGGAGAGGTTTCGGAGAAAAAGGAACCCTCATACACTGCTGGTGGGAATGCAAACTGGTGCAGCCACTATGGAAAACAGTATGGAGATTCCTCAAAAAATTAAAAATAGAACTACCATACGATCCAGCCATCCCACTACTGGGTATTTACCCAAAGAGCTTGAAGTCAGCAATCCCAAAAGTCCTATGTACCCCAATGTTTACTGCAGCACTGTTTACAATAGCCAAGATGTGGAAGCAACCTAAGTGTCCAGCAACAGACGAATGGATAAAGAAGATGTGGTACATATATACAATGGAATACTACTCAGCTGCAAAAGAGAACAAAATCATTCCATTTGCAATAACATGGATGGACCTTGAGAGAATTATGTTAAGTGAAATAAGCCAGCGAGAGAAGGATAATCTGTGTATGACTCCACTCATATGAGGAATTTAAAATTATGGACTAAGAACAGTTTAGTGGATACCAGGGGAAAGGTGGGGTGGGGGCTGGGCACAAAGGGTGAAGTGGTGCACCTACAACATGACTGACAAACATTAATGTACAACTGAAATTTCACAAGATTGTAACCTATCAATAACTCAATTAAAAAAATAAAAAAAACCTGATCTTATTATTTTACTCTATGTTATATTTTTTTGTTGTTTCCTTTTTCGTTGCTAAGATTATTTATTTGTGTCTTCTCTCTTTTTTCTCTTGATGAATCTTATCATGGAACTGTATATTCAATTAGCTTTTTCAAAGAACAGGCTTTAAAAAAGTCATTCTTATATTTTCACTTTCAAGTTCATTAATTTATGCTTTTATCTTTACCATTTCCATACATCTACTTTCACCGGGTTTACCCTTTTTTAAAAATCATTTTCCAGTTTTTTGAATAAGATGCTTAGTTCATTAATTTTCCATCTATCTTCTGATTTCACTATGATTTCTTCTCGAATTATTTAGGAAGTGAGTTTATAAGTCTCCAAACATGGGAACTTTTAGTTACCTGTGTAAACTGTACTGAGTTCAGAGAAAATAGTTCGTGTGGTAAGAATTCTTTGATACTGGTTGAGACTGATGTCATGGTCTAGTACATGCTCAGTTTTTGTGCATGTTCTAAGTTTGCTTCAGAGGACGTATTCATTGTTGGTTGGGAGCAGAATTCTAAATATGACTAATATATCAAGTTTATTAAGACTATTAGAATCTTCTATAGCCTTACTAATTTCTTGGTTTATTTTATCTATTAGTAAATGAGAGAATAGTCTTAATATTTTCCACTTAAATGAGGATTCTCACTTTTTTCTTGTAATTCGGTTCATTTTTGCTTTTTATGGTTTGAGGGTATGTTATTAGATGCATACAAGCTAAGAATTCTTTTATGTTCTAGTGATACAAACTTTTAAGATACTATCTTTTTTATCACTAATAATTGTTTATGTCTTAAACTCTATTTTGCCTACTATTAATGTAGATATAACTGCTTTTCTTTGATTTGAATTTGCCTGTTATTTTTTCCCATCACTTTACTTTCAAACTTCCTGCATTTATACATTTTAGATATGTCCCTTACAAAGAGCATATAGTTTGGTTTTGCTTTTTAATCCAATGTAACACTTTTAACTGGCTACTTTAGACAATATACATTTATTGTGATTATTGATATTTGGATTATCTGCCTACCATATTTTTGTGCTTCTGAATTCACCTGTTTGGGTTTTTTTAATGATTTTTCCCCCTTCTTCTCTGCCTCTGTTGGATTGATCCTGTTTTATTAGCTTTTATCCTTCTATTAATTTGGAAACTATCATTTATATTCCAATTCAAATTTTATTTCTAAATTTTAAAAAATAAATTTATTTCCAAATTGTAACAGGTAGGCTTGTCTTAGTGTGAAGATAATCAGTAGCTCTATCCTCTGCTCAACAATATGTGTAGCTAGAAATCTTTAAGAATATCTCCCTCTCTTTTTACATATGATCTCTGAAAAGACTATTTCAGAAATGATTCTGGTGTCTTAGTGGATTGTCATTTCACCATAGCTAGCAATAAGATAGAAATATTTTCATTATTCCTCAAACTTCAGCTCTTTAAAATAATCAACTTCTCTGTAAGAAGACACTTTATAAAGTGTTTCACAACAGAGGCATTACTGACATTTTAGGTGGGACAACTGGTCCACTGTGCCAACTGTGCTGTGCACTGTAGGATGTCTAGAAACCCTGATCCCTGCTGACTATGCCAGAGGAAGTCTCCTCTCTTCTCCCATAGCAACAACTAAAACTGCGCCACACATCATTTCCAAACATTTCCCTAAGGATCAGTACCACTCCAACTAAGAAACTACTCTTTTAATGCATGAAAACAAAGTGCAAAGATTATAAAATAAATAGATTAGAACTGAAGGTCCAAAGAGTGAAAAAGAGCTCTACAAAGGGAATAACAAAAATATTTTTCCTTAAATTCCTTAAATTCAGGAAACTCATCTTATAAACCAGTTTTCATCATTAACTATACTATTTGGTCTCCTTTCCACATAATTTTCTCCAAATTTTTTAGTCACAATATATGACTAAGTGCAAGTAACAAAAGATGAAATCACTTTTTGCTTGCTTTTCCCAAAGCCAGTTTCTTTCTCCTAAAGAGACACGAAGGCTAAGACACAACACTGAATTTGTTTGCCATCTTTAAAAAAATTTTTTTGTTCATAATCCTAACGTGGTTTCCTATTCACAAACCTGTTGGTGTCCCAAATAATGACATTTCCATCAAATCCTGACGTTACTAAGAGTCTTGTATTAGTATCATATTCGATGTTCTTCACCCAGCTAGTGTGACCATGTAAAGTGCATACTTTGGTGTTCAATTTTCTCAGATCCCATAGTGCTATTGTAGTGTCATCAGAGCAGGTAGCAAACAGCCGGTTATCAAGAAATCTACAAAGCAGAAAAAAAAAACCTGGTTTATTTAATATCTCATTAAAGAAAACTTGAGAAGCAGTCTCTATATTACCTAGTCAAGAAAACAAATGAACAAAAAAGGACTACAAATTCACTGTATAAACCCAGTGATTCTGATATACAATAAATAGTAAGTATAATTCACATAATCTCAGGAAAGGATACTATGGTTAAACGAGGGCCACACTGCAATGTTATCCATTTGCTTTACATTATGGATTTTTATTTGGAACTGGAAATAGGGTAGGTGTTTTGGACAACAGTGCTACAGAGAAAGAACTTTAGAATCTGTATAGGAAACACAAATGGTAAGAAACAATTTAATAGGAGACAGAGGAGATGTTGAAGACTGAATGCTGAGGGAGATGTGTTAAGTGTAAAGGGCTCACAACTATGAGAAACATTTACTCTGCTACAAGTAACTTCTCTTTCTATTTAGAAGACATTTACATACAAAAATTGCTATTAAAATGCCATCCATTTTTATCTGTTAGTTCAAAGGCATTCCCCAAACAATCTCCCTCAGCAATATTTTATTAGGACCAGTCAAGATTACAAGATAGACAATCAAAATCCGTTCTCTATAATTCAGACTTTTAATTATTTTACACTCATTTCTCAATCCTCAGTAAGAATATGTTTTATACAAATACTTAAAAAATAACAAACCTACCAATTACACTTGAATTTCTGCCTAATTCAACATTAGGATGCTTTCTCTAACATATGCTGTTATGTATGACTTCCTAACCTCTTGTAGAAAAAATTAATTCTGGAGCTTCTTCCAAGATAGAATTATATATAATTATTTTCTGTCAGAAATAAACCTCAGTATCCACAAACATCATAATGACCTTCCTGAAACTTAACACGATTTTAAAATTCCAGGCCTTTGTACAGGCTGTTTCTGCCACCTAAAACCACCTTCCCACTCCCCCTTGACCTGGCTAACACTTGCTTTCTCTTTAATGTTCAGCTTTCATCCGCTCCAGGAAGCCTTCCCTCTCTATCCAGCGTGGGGTAGATTTACCAATCTTCTAATCTCCCAAAGCACTCTACACTTCTATCATAACACTTAATATCACAGTGTAAGGAATAATTTTACAAGGCTATTAACTCCTTGAAGGCAAGGAGAACCTGCCTGCGTAGAGCATGGTTAGATCTGCAGTACCCAACACACATAGAGTCCCAGGAACATAATAAGCACTCACAAATATTTATCAAATGGCTGAATGAGATAGGAGTTCACTGCCTAGTGGAGAAGATACTATAAATACATAATTATACAAAATAATTGTGTGGAATAAGCAAAGAAAAGAGGGTAGTTGGGAAAGACTTCATGGTGGTGTCATTTGAACTGACTTTAAAAGATGAGCAAGAACTTGAGTGCCCAAGGAGTAGGCAGAGGCACAGAGGCAGGTAAGAGGATGGTGTACTCTTAGAGGCAAGAGTCGTTAGGAGTGCTGCATGTGGGAAAGTAGAGACAAGCAGAGACTATATCATGGATTTATTCTATAATGATTCCCAATAACTATCTTTTAATTATAAATACATGCCCATTGAAAATATTTTTTAAAAGGAAAAAAATCTGCCACCAAAAATAACCAGTTATTGATATTTAGCCTAATTCCTATATTTCAAACCTAATTCTATCTAATAACTATTTTGCCATGTCATTAAAGATTTATTGACAAAAATCATTTGTAATGGCTGAACAGCATTCACTGTATGAACTCTAATCTTTTTTTTAAACAAATATGCAATTGTTGGATGTTTACATTTCTTCCAATTTGTTACTATTAAAAAACACTATGATGGACATCCTAACAGTCAAATATTGATCACATCCATAGTTATTTTTAAAGCACATTCCCAGAAAAATGTATTGCTAATTAAAAAGAGATTTTTTTAAATGTAAGACTTTTGATACATATAGCCAAATTGTCCTCAAAAGAACATACCAATATATAGTTCTACCAGCAGTTAGGAGAGTATCTATTTCTCTAAATCCTTGCCACACAGATATTTTTTAATTCTGCTAAGTGCTAGGAAAAAATATCTTATTTTAAGATGAAACTTTTATTTATAGTAAAGTTGAACTTTTTTCATATTAATTAGAAGATTTCTTTTGTGAATTGCTATTTGTGTTCCTTGCTGATTTTCCTACCACAGTATTACTTTTATTATTGAGTTATAAAATCTCTTTATAGTGAGGATAATATACCTCCATTTTTCAAATACAATGTTGAATACATTTTCCACATATATTTCTATCTTTCAATGTGGTTTATATGTTTTCTTACTGTATCAAAATTTTAATTATTATATTGCCGAATCCATTTCTTCCCTTATAGTTTTATATTTACTGATGAGGCTTTTTAAAGTAAAAATATTTCAATGACTTCACACCTGACAGGAATTATATAAATGAAAAAAATACACAATGAAAAAAGCTACTGGAAAGTGAGTCAAACTTTTAAAATAAATTGATCATGATCATAATGGTATCTTCACACATTTGAAAATTTTAGGAAAAAATATAATTAAGATATTTTATTTAGTCTACAGAAAATACTTAATGCACATATGGATTCAAAACCTCAGTGGGATTATATTACTGAAGGTCACAGAGGTCCCTCCTCCCTGAAGAGTTTTAAGCAAGAGAGTGACATGATTAGATAAGAGTTTCAGAAAGATCTCTGAGGTGGCTAGGTTCTAAAACTCTTGGATTTTCATAAAAAATAAAATAAAGTAGAGAATCAGTTTTTAAGTTTTTGTCAATAAGGCCACTGAAAAAATTAGCATTGTTGCATGAAAGGATATTTTAATACCAATAATGTAGAAAGAATATAATCTTGGAACAAAAGCTAATACTTTTTAATTGAATAAGTTTACCTCAAGGAAAAATATAATACTTTAACTTTAGTTTTCTCATTTTTGCCTCAAAATATTACCTGTTAAAATTTTTGGTATTGGAGAATCATTGGTAAAAATAGTACATAAATTATAGAAAATTAAGAATGTAGACTAGGAGACCAGTTAAAGAATCTAAAACAATTCTTATCGCAAAGTAAGAGATTTAGAGAATGCAAAGTGTTAGAAAAGTCCTTGGAGATCTGGCTCAATCTTCTCAAATTAAAACTCAGTCTAGCCTAATAAGTTAATAATTGTAAAGTATTTTTAACTCTATAGTCTCTAATAAACAAGAAACATTCCTTCACACACTGAAATCTATGAGTTTCTGAATTATAGAATTTCTCCACAAGTCCCCATCAAACCCAACATACGACTATAACAGCTCTGGATAAACTGAGGTCTTCATTATGAGAGGATAATTGGTAAAGGATAACAGCAATTGAAACATGATTTTCTTAAAACGGGTACCCACATTTCATTGTACAAGGGAAAGAAAGTGTTGTTGACTATCTTAAAAAAACAAGCTAAAAAATCATGAAAATAACCCTTGGAGCTGGCCAGGTGGCGCAGCGGTTAAGTGCACACGTTTTGCTTCGGCAGCCCGGGGTTCGCCAGTTCGGCTCCCAGGTGCAGACATGGCACCACTTGGCAAGCCATGCTGTGGTAGGCGTCCCACATATAAAGTGGAGGAAGATGGGCACGGATGTTAGCTCAGGGCCTATCTTCCTCAGCAAAAAGAGGAGGATTGGCAGCAAGATATTAGCTCAGGGCTAATCTTCCGCGCAAAAAAAACAACCAACCTTTTTACATTTATTTAATTATATACAAATTCCTAGAACAAGTAAATTAAATGTTTGGGTTTTTTTCATAATCTTTCCAGTGAAATCATGACAGCAGAATATAACATCCTTACTTCATATTTGAGGTTTTGTACTATAATAAAAAAGAGGGTGATTTCCATATAACATGCAAAGGCTTTATCAACTTTCCCAGGGGCCTTTCCGTAGTCCTATGAGACATTCACATACTTCTTAGAAGTGTCTATCATGCCATCATTTCTGTCATTTTCTTGTCTCTAATTGATAACTAGTCTAACTCTATCAGATCCTCATTTGCTGATGATTTGATATATAAATGATCAGTTCTCCAACATTATTCTCAGGGTTTTGTGAAATTCTACATTCTTTGCAAGATAAGAAATTTCATGTTCCCAGTGGTAAGCATTGCACTTACATTATTGTTTAAAATATAACAATGAGGAAAAGACCAACAAAGACAATCAGAGGGAAAAGTAGATTCTGGGATATTTAAATGGGTATTATTTTTTAATTGCCATATCACTAAGTAAATAGTCTTATGATAACCTCAGTTCTCCCTGTAACCTCATAATTGGTGGGACCTTGATTATTTAATGTATTCTTAAATCGGCTTACAGAGTCATAGTGAGTGAGAAGTAAGCCGGTATAATTGGTTTAAGAATTTAAATTACATACCTTTCCCCTTACTTTCCCTAAATATGAAGCAACAGAAAATACTCTCCACGACTATCAATATTTTTATTTTACAAGATAAGCAAACCTCAAAACTAAGAAATAAACTAGAAGACATTACTAATTAACTGCAAAATGACTATCTAGAACCAAATCAGGAAATGCATGCCCACATCTCTGAACAGTGAGTGAGTTGGTCTAATGGAACTGAATATGAATTCCAGCCCTATCACTTACTATATCTAAGATCTTGGGCAAGTCTCTTTATCTGAGTTGCAGTTTCTTCATTCCTTAAAATGGGTACAATATCTGTCTCATATTAGGATACTGTGAGGATTAAACAACATAATGTGTGAACAGTGCTTCACAGAAGGTTTGGCACATGGTAAGTACTCAAAAAATGGAAGTTAGTATTATTAATAAGTAATGTACACTTAAGCTCATGCCAGAGGACCCCTCAGATCCTCACTCAAAACTCTCAAGTTATATGTACTTCTAAAAAAGCTTCAGGGGCCAGCACGGTGGCACAGCAGTTAAGTTCCCACGCTCCGCTTCAGCAGCCCGGGGTTC